TGTTGTCTGCAAAAACCTGCAACCGGAGTTCTCAACTCCTGAATAGAATAGCCCTCCAATTTTAAGAACTTTGAAAGCAGAAGTGAAATTGAAATTATACATTCCCATCCACACACAACTTGAAAACACCTCCACATAGCAAAATCCTAAAAACATCAAATAATAAGTTAAGGAAATCATTTAAAAGTAGAACACATGCAGGCATAAAAGTAGGAAAAATAGCTTGCCTGTTTTGGGTGATATGAAAAGATAGACTCCTCTCCATCAGCTGCCCACCTTTGCATTGTGTTAACCAAACAGAGACTTAAATAAAAGAGAAAAAAATCAGCATTGATATTACTTAGAATTTGAAGAACATATATGTTTCAAGGGTAACGCGGAGAGAGACCTGATGACTGAGAAACCTTGGCATGGAAGAAAGGGGGAGACCCAGAACTGTAGAGTGAAAATGGGTGGAATTTGGAGATGGGTTTTGGGGGTGAAGCCCGAGAAGAGTAGAGAATGGGTCCGAAATTGGTGGACTCGTGCAATATTTGATACGAATATAGCTGTTGTGGTTCCTGTTGTTGCTGTGAGTTAATTGCAATTACAGAGTGGTGATACTGAAAAGCGCAGCTTGTGAATTGGGCGAAACAAACAATAAGGAAGAGTGGGATGCAATAGCCCAACAGAGACGCACCACAATCGAGGTGTCTCTGTATCTCTCACATCGAAGTCAACGAATTGTCCTATATTCGACCCAGCCCAATAACCATCCTTTGCATTCGGACTTTGGATAATTTGGATCCAATATTCTTTTTTTTTCTTTTACATTCATTTATCCTCAAATCAATCACTTTAACACATAACGTAACGCAACTAAAATAGGGGTGTGCAATTTAGGCCAGTATTTCAGTTGAAATATTAGGCCTAACACATCCTAACCAAGTAATCATGAGACGTAATGAAGAGCAACTTACATTTATTTCAAATTATAGAAGTTATTTTGACCAAGTAATGCTCGGCCATGTATCATTTTAAAAATTATTTAAAAACTTGTAGTGATGACTGATTTGAACTGTATTTTTGTCTACATTTAGAATAAAAAAAGAAAAATATCATTTCTATTGTTGAAATGGGGATCTTTGATGTCTCATTTTAGATAGCAAACAAAAAAGGTTATTCACTCTTGATTGGAACTCAATGACATTTTTTAAAATTGTAAACGATTATTTCTATTGTCATGTAACTGTTGAATTCATTTCACAAGTGTTTTTTCAATGCCTGTGACGACCTGAATTTTTTTAAAATTTTAATATAATTAATTTATGATTTTTAGATTATTTGAATTAATTAATTATTTATTAAAATTAATGAGTTTTGAAATTTAATTTAATTTTGTTTATATATGTGTTGTATTTATGAAGGCAGTTGGAGGCGAAATTGAGAGAAAATTGAGATGGTTGATTTTGGTCCCACTTGAATGGTATTTTATGGGTCTTTGATATGGTTTTTGATTATTTATATATATATATATATATATATATATATATATATATATTGGGAAGAAAAAGAGAAGGAAATGGAATTCGTGGGTAGCTTACCTTCCCACTTGTGATAATTGATGGGTTGATTTTTTTGTTACATTTGTGTTATATATATATATTATTTGTTTGTATTTTTATGAAAAAGGATAGCTTCCAGTCAAAGTGTTGAAAATGGGAAATGTTGAATTGCGGGACCCACTGAAGACTTTGTGGCCAAAAAGCTTTTTGGATGATATGGTATGATTTGTATCTGAAGATAAGGATTAAAAGAAGGAGTAGGAAGTGATAAGGTAATAATGTGGTGGGATCATTAGGTGTCATTTGGAGTGAAGTTTTTGGTTTTGTCTGATGGAGAAGTGATGGGTGAGCAGTGGTAGGTCGGTGGAGGCATTATGAATTTAGCGCGTGTATGCACATTGAGTTAACTAGAGAATAGAGATAGAGTTTGGGGGCAGAGTCAGCCGAGAGAAAAAATTAGAGAGGGAGCTTGAGAACAGAGACAGTGGGTTGAGAGTTAATTAAGTGAGGAAATTTTTTTTTAAGTGTAGAATTCTGCTGGAGTGGTTTTGCTTCAATATTTTTATTAAATGTTGTTAATTAAATATATATGTATTTTGTTTATACTCATATGAATATGTTTATTTTGTGAAACTGTTTTTGTTAAACTTTTATGAAATTTTTGTTATGGTTTTTTCTATTGGGACTTTCAATCGCACCACCCTCCAGTTTTAAGTACCGAGGATAAACGGAAATTACTAGATTCGGGTTTAGGCTGAAGAGTCAGCCTGGCAGGATTTAATTTATTTATTTAGAGAATTTTTTTATATTTGAGAAAATTGACTTTGTATGATAGAGAGTATTTTTTTTTTGAAATTCTAAATGTATTTTGATGTATTTTGTGTTGAATAAATTGAGAATTTTATTTTAAAAATTCGGGGCTTACAGCCCCACTCTTGTTTCGATTGGAGCACTTCCAAGTTGTTTGTGGTTCCAATGATGCCACATGGCTCCAGCATTTGAAATGTTGGGCCTAACGCATGTTGTTGGGGGCCAAAGTGGGACTTACGTGGCCTCTGTTGCATCTCACGACTAAGATTATTTTGACACAGCATTTTGTTTGAAATACTCCGTCTTACAATTGGTTAGTGAAGTAAATTACAATTTTAGGCCTCTAACTTAATAGGTTTTATTATTTATTTACCCAAAAAAAAAAAAAAAAAACTGCAAGTTTTTCAAAGAATCCAAATTAATTAGTTTCTAGTTCATGAACTTATTTGCAGCAGCAGTTTACTTGAGGGAATGCGAGAGCCTTTGGGAGCCAAGCTGCCACTCATTTGAAGCAATATCATTTGGAGCAATAGCCACGATATTTAATATCTCAAACAATTTCCTGGAAGGATTCTGTTATGGCTTGTCAAATTGGAGCTGATTAGTGGTAATCTGGAGTGGAGTTAGTGAAGGGCTAACTTAGGCTATAGCCCAAGTTTAGAAAAAAAAAATAATAAAAATAAGAAAATAAAATAAATTAATATTATTGTACATTAATTCATATTTCGATTTATATGTAATATTACTCTTTCTTGAGTTCAATCCACTTTGTAATATTTGACTCGGCAAGATAGCAGACAGAGAAATAGTAGGAGTACACAATGCTTTGAGTTTGGATGTTAATTTTTAACAGTGTTTGTTATATACGCTCTAAGTTGGGCTGTTTTCGTCAGCTCCTTCTCCTTGTGAGTGGGCTGTTATTCCCGGCAGCATTTTAAAATGAATTAAAAAAAGAAGAAGATAAATACAATAATCTTTTTTGTGTTACTTGACATCTGACAGAACAAAACAAAATATCTAAACATTTTAATCTACTTAATTGAATAAGTCCATACCATGGACATGTTTTACTAATTAAATGTGATAGGTCTCGATCAATTGACCCAATGCATCCCCTTATATCTAAGTAAATCAAAGCGGAATATAAAATAAAATCAAATACAAAATAATCAAAATCTTTTTACTAAAAATTTGAAGTAAAAAAAAAAACATTAAGGGTAAAGTACACTAACACCGTTCAGGTTTGACAAAAAGACATTCAAGTAAAAATTATCTGTTTTTTAAATAATGACATCCCCTTAAAAAAATTTCATCCAAACAAGGCCTTAAATTATATAAAAAGATAAAATTATCCCTTAATATAAAATTCAAATTTATTATAAAATATCATTACATGTCAAAATGACACTATTGTCCCTCAAAATTTAGCGCCACAGGTCTAATAGCCATGCTTTGCTTGCTTATATTTATTAGTGCCTAGTTGTTGACCCAATAAATTTATGTATCAGACATTTAATTCCAGAGAACCTAATATTAATCAATTGGAAATCAGGACACTAATGTGATTATATTTACAAATATTCTTTTTTGCAAGTGAGAAATTATGCAGTGTTAAGTATAGCAGCAGCTACACCATCCACCCAATCCAGTGGACCATCAACAATTGATTGGCTATTTGGGATTAAGGTAACATGTTTTTCTGTTTTTGGGACACTTGCTGGGACAAGTATTTTTGTAATGCCACATATGACATAGATAACACTGTTGGGTTATTTGGTTTTTTGTTTTTGGGATACTTGCTGGGACAAGTATTTTTGTAATACCACATATGACACAGACATAACAATTGGGTTATTTTTTGTTAGTTGGTTGACACTTGGTTGTTGGATGGTTGGTTGACACTTGGAATGTTGGTTATGTAATAATAGATTATGTAAATTTTAGTGTCAAATGTTGGTTCTATTAATCTGTTTTAGGGATATATATTTGGTTTTCTGTTTTTGAGACACTTGTTGGGACAAGTATTTTTGTAATGTCACATATGACACAGACATAACAGTTGGTTATTTTTTATTAGTTGGTTGATACTTGGTTGTTGGATGGCTGGTTGACACTTGAATGTTGGTTATGTAATGATAGATTATGTAACTTTTGGTGTCAAATGTTCGTTTTATTAATTTATTTCAGGGATGTATCTACATATATATATATATATAGATATATTTCATCTGTTTTATAAAGATAATTTTGTTCAATTTATTAACTTGTAAAGTTAAAAAGGTCAATTAATAGTAGACAATTTGGTCAATTTTTTATACCAGTTGGCTTCAAGGAGTGTCTTTGTTTACTTTTCAATCTTTAAGGGGTATCATTGTTTAAAAAATAGACAATTTTCATCTAAGTATTTTTTTTGACAAATTTCATAAGGTGCAGTATACTTTACCAAAACATATTAAAAAAATATAATAAAAAAAATAATTAGGGGCCTTCGTACAATTGGGGCTTTCACTAAAACTATAATTATTAATAATTTAAAATAGACTTTTTGTCTTTATTTCAGATTTTGTGAAACTTGTGAATTTTGTGATCCTTGTTTAAAGTTCTATATCTGTGAGAGAGAATCACATCTCAGCCTGATCACACAATACAAACTCATTTTATCTTCCCAGACCATGATGACAATATTGCTTCTTTTTCTTCCAACACTCAGTCTGCTCTGCTTTCTTCATCAAAAATACAGAAACAAGTACGGAGCAAATCATCTTCCCCCGGGTCCTCCGGGACTTCCAATCATCGGTAACCTACACGAGCTTGCTAACTCAGCTCCACATCACTACCTATGGCAACTCTCCAAAAAATATGGCCCTCTCATGACCCTCCAACTCGGTTTCGTTCCAACCCTTGTGGTTTCTTCAGCAAAGATGGCTAAAGAGGTCCTGAAAACCCATGATCTCGAATTTGCTAGTAGGCCATCTTTACTGGGCCAGAGAAAGCTATCTTACAATGGCTTAGATGTGGCTTTTACACCTTACAGTGAGTATTGGAGAGAAATGAGGAAGATTTGTGTCCTTCATCTCTTGAACCCCAAGAGGGTTGAGTCCTTCCGTTACATTAGAGAAGATGAGGTTTCGCGAATGATCAAAAAGATCTCCAACTTTGCTTCTGCTTCTAAACTCATCAACTTAAGTGAGATGCTAATGTCTCTCACTAGTGCCATGATTTGTAGAATTGCTTTTGGTAAGAGGTATGACGATGAAGGTTGCGAAAGGAGTAAGTTTCATGGCCTCCTTCATGAAGCTCAGGCCATGCTAGGAAGCTTCTTCCTCTCGGATTATTTTCCTTTTCTTGGTTGGGTAGATAAACTCAATGGCATGTCAAGCAGGGCCGATAAAATTTTCAAGGAAATGGATTTGTTCTACCAAGAAATCATCGATGAGCGCTTGCAAGAAGAGAGCAGTAAGTCCGAGCAAGAGGATATTCTTGATGTCTTACTTCAGCTGCAGAAGGATCACTCGTTTACAATTGATCTCACTTTAGATCATAATTTTTCTCACCACCTTAGTCCAGTCATAAAACCATAATTTTTATACCAACTACTTTCACCTTTAGTCTAGTACATTTTACACATATCAAGTGCTTCGGACTTCTGGTGGATTAAGTACACAATCATACCTTGAGAACCCATCAATAAGGACAATGAAATACATTTGCCACAAACGAGTTACAATAAGAAATGGATCACAAATGTCGGTATAAATATAATCCAAAAGACTAAATGACCAACTAGCCTCAAAATTGTGTTTCTTAGGATCTGTCATTTGATACAACTAACGCATAAAATTTGTGACTCAATAATCTCATCCTTGACCAAGCGTTCAAGTCTCTTTTGAGAGATATTCCCCAATATCCTATGCATAGCATAGATGAATCCTCTCTAACCAAAACACATTTTAATTCGGAAGGTATCGAGTCTATAGAAAAATAAGAAACAAATATGATCACACTCGAATCTATCCACCATGTCTATACCTATACTTTTACCAAGTTAGGCTCAAAAATTAATATAACAATTTTCTTTCCTGCTTTGTTTTTCTTTTTCACCACAATAGCCTTTTTTCTTTTCGATATCTTTTTATTTCTACAAAACCAACATTTATCATTCCATAATCAATGTCTTTTCATGTATCGTTCTGTTTTTCTTTATTCTGTTTAGCTTTATACACTTTCTTGCCGCCTAGTTTATTCTTGAAACGATTTTTGCTGTCACAGCAAGATGAGAACAATACACCTTGAAAAGTGTATAACATTTAACTTCTTGTGAATTATAATTCACCTTGAAAAGCTGAAAAAACCTAAGTAGAAAATAGATTACTAAGTGGACAAATAACTTATCATCAAATATGATTCCATACTACCTCAGATCATTAACTAGTTTGCATATCTTATAGATATACTCCTTCACTAAACTATTGCCGTCATATCTGACTAACATAAATCATGTCAGATAATACTATTGTAGTTGCTTCTTAATACCCATTAACTTTTTCTTAATCAAATCAAGAAGTTCCTTGGCAATATCAAAACCATAATACCACCATGAATATTATCACCAATAGAAACATAAATTAATCTAATGGCATGGTAGTACCTTTAGTCCACTTAAAAATGCAACAATTTTTCTACCTAAGAAGACTCTGCACTGGGCATATAGGTTTCTTCCTATAAAAAAAAAACACAGACTCGTAATCTAAGAAACCCAATAAAATATCAAAACTTGTCTTCTAGGCAATATAATTTTTAACTATTCAATGGTTCAATCCCGATGAGCTATCTTTAAATTGCGGAAACGTTTGTAACATGAATAAATAACAATAACACTACATAAACAACATATAAAATAATATATCACAACTTTATGGATTATTACTTTAATTCGTGCTTGGGGTTTTAAGCCAAATTTCTCAGGATGTTTTACTATTTGCAAAAACAGTCCACCCTGTGGGAACAAATAAAATGTCATCAAAAAATCACCTTTTGGCAGAAATTTAGATTTTACTTTATCCCCCAAACCTGCAATAAAATCTCACATAGACCTATATGATTATATTTGAATTATTGCTAAACACTTTCACTATATTTTGGCAAGAGGGTTATTTAGTTATAATCCAAGCACTCTCAAATATTCTACTCACTTATCCAATACTAAGACATTGATTACCTTTTGGTAGAACAAATGCCCTTATGTAAGTAAGTGCATTGTAAGACCTCAATAAGACCAATGTCTTAAAATTTTAATAAAATAATAACCTCCATGAGCGTGTCACCTTTTGACAGGCATCACCCATTTTAGCTATTACTTTTGAAATAGTCACTTTACCGATCTTCCTAAACCCCAAAGAAGAACATATACTGCAGAAGTTCCATTTATTTAAGTTCAATAACTTCTTTATAATGCACATAAACTAAATCCAAATATTATGGAATACTTGATTTCACTGTAATATAAATGGCTTTAATACAAATAAAATAAAACCCCCTCATACATCTTAAGAAATTACAGTGAACAATGTAATAATATGCACATCAATCAAGATTTAAAAATCTTAATTCTTTCTATTATTTAATTGAAATAAAATAATAAAATTTGATGCATGTATATTATATATCCGATAAATAATTTAAAGTACTTGAATCTTTAAATCAATTAAGTTAATATTGCTTGTTTATGGTACACAAGCCCTATAGATTTTTCAATCTAAAATTAAACAATTAAAACTTGAATATTTAAGTCAATAAGATCAATAATATTTGCTTATGGTACGCACACCCCCATAAGTTTTTCAACTTAAAATTGAATAAATATCATAAATTACTTAATAAAAGTACTGGACATAGGGCATGGTTAAATGGCCACACAACTTTATGTTAAACTAAAAGTTTACTTATACATGTAATTCAAGATATATACCTCATATTGATACATGCAGCATAAATATCAATAACGATGTTTAAATCATCCAAAACCCTATATAATATTATATATGTACTATTGTATTCAAGCAACACTGAGTTCTCAAACCAAAACAATCTTCCAGATTAATTTTGAACGAAAGACAAATACTTGATAGTTTACTTTTCATACACACATTAATTCATATATATATAATTAAAGGCTTTTAGTCTTCATGCATATCAATATATAATTCACACAAATCAAGACATTTAGTCTCATTGTACATCCATGTCAAATTATTTGGGTATAATGATATACTGCTCAAGAATGGTTAGATAACCACACATTAGTGCATAGTTACAATATATGTATATGAATATATGCTTGAATACCAAATTAAATAAATATTTAATCCTGATTTCTTTCAATATATGTTCAAATAGTTTATGAGAATATATATTTAAAATTACATATTCACATCTATATAAATAGTTGTAAATTCATTCAACATAGATTGCAAATCCAAATTTGAATTATAAATTCAAATATTTATAATTTTCTTTTCAATTTGGTTTCAAAAGAAACAATTGGGGTTACAATACAGCAGAAGTAAACATATATAGAAGTAAACATATATATATGTTTCCATACTTGTATCATTGTCTTCCTCGTTCGACGTGCAGACTTTATAACGAAAATAACTTATACAATGCATAACAAAATGATTGCTTATACATTGTTGTTCGGCGTGCACAATTTATAAAGGAACTGATACATTGCATGACAAACTCATACTTTAAAAAAGGTTCTCACGTGTATAATAGATTGTGGTATTTTAAAACAAAACATTGTTTATATATAAATCAATTACATATCCATGTAAAGTTTAGGCATGTAATATTTCTGATTTTTTGTTTTTTTGTGTTTATATATATATATATATATATATATTGGTAAAAGATGATAATTTTTGATGTGGGCCCCACCTAACACTAAGTGTGATTTATATCATCACATACCACATTCTGGCCATTTCTTTTCCTCCATCATGCAGCCCCTTTCTCTCTCTACGTGAAACCCATTTTCCCTCACCAAATCACAACTTGTAAAGCTTGATTTCATCATTTTTCACTTGGATTTCAACTTTGCCATTAAAGGCAAAGTTGATGAGCTCGTTGAGGACTATGTTTTGCTCGGAGCTGATCTTGATTTGGACATCCTAGGGTTTTTGAATTTAGGGGCTGAATTGGGTGCAATTCGGGGTTTTCTTCTATATTGAGGTAGGGGTTTCCTAAAGTTTACAACCTTTGTTTTTAGTGAATTAATTCTTTGAATTTGAATTACCAACTTGTATAGAATTTAGTTTTTATTTCAAGCATGTTTTGTGAAGTTCCAAATTTGAAATTCGTAGCTTCAATAATAGTGTGTGATATGTATTTAAAAACTGAGATAGTGAGCTCCCCTAAATGTTGATTTTGTTGTGTACATAAAAACTGAAACTTTAATAATTAGCATGATTGTGTTTTGTTTTGAGGTAAGGATTGTTGTTGTTGTTGAGGCTCAAAAACTGAAAATTTTAGCTCCTATGATGGTGGGTATTATGTACTTAGAAATTGTATTTGAGCTCCCCTAAATGTTGATTATGTTTATGTACATAAATTGAAATTTTAGTAATTAATTTGATTGGGTTGTTGCTGAAAAAGAAAAAAAAAAAAAAATACTGAAATTCTATTTTGAACTTATCTCATATGTGGGGCTATTTTGTTGTAAGGATTATAGTTGACGGTGTTGCTCAAAAACTGAGATTTGTAGCTTCCTTAATGGTGCATAGTATGTGTTTAGAAATTGAAATACAAGCTTTCTAAATGCCGATTGTGTTGTGAGTATAAAAAAATAAAAATAAAAAAAACAGTAAATTTGAGTAATTTTCATAGATATGTTTTTGTGTTTGCAAGCTGAAATTTATATGTTTAAATTGCCTCATTTATGGAACTATTTTGTTACAAGCTTGTTATTGTTGTTGTTCAAATTCTGAATTGGTGCCTAAACTTTACAGCATAAATAATTATGTTATTGTGGTTTTCAAAACTGCCATATTGATTTGCCATTAAGTATAATTTATAGAACTGAAATTTGATGTGGAGATGCTATGACACTATGAGATTTTGAAGTGTGTTATTCATGCATCATATTGGGTACTACATGGGGTAAAAACAGATTTTTTTTTTTAGGAGGAGAGTGTATTTTTTTTTAAATGAAAGCAATAACTGAAATTTTGGGAATTTCATTTGCAAGATTGCATTATGTAATGGTCATTACTTCCCGAATAAGTATGAACCCCTTTCCTTGTTGCTATTCTTTGCTTAGATTCCCGGAAGCATTAGGGAGTGTGTTTTAGGCATCTTCTACTGAGTCGCTGTGCTCACTCCTTACTAATATTTTTCAGGACACGGAAAGAAAGTGGCGAAAGACATTCCCCACAGGCTTAGATAGGACTTGACGGACTTTCTTGTGTAAATTTTCTGTTGTATATACAAGTCTTATAAAACTTTAAACTGGTTTTGTATCTCTTTTGTAAACTTATGTTGTGGTGACTGTTGTGGGACAAGGTTAACCTTTAATATGGCTCATAAAAGAGTTCGA